TGTGCTCTTATCATGAAAGACTTGGGCCTGTGGGGAGATTCTGTTTGTAAAGAGGAGGGTTGAGAGCCGGCGTGTCCAGATTTCAGGGAGTATAAGAGAGGGCACAGGAAGGTTGCGTCCCCTCCTCTCACACGGCTCAGTGCACCTGCTCATCCTCCTCCAGAGCTTTCATGCTCATGTAAAAGATAATAACATTCATTTATCTAAACCTCACACTCTTGAAGCTTTGCTCAGTACTGGAGAAGGATACATGACATGTTTGATGCTTTTGTTTTTAAAGGGGTCTTTTTTTGCCTGAAATCCACTCATAATGGTTTTTATGCCAATAACATTAGTATTTTATATTTTCATGACCATTTTTGATGCTCTCTCTTATCCTTAGAATTAAATGGCCTGGTTTTGCTCCTCTGCCTTTAAAAGCAGCATGTGAAATGAGTATCACAGCTTTGGTCCACTAAGGCACAGGCTGTCGATTTACTGTTGGATTAAATATAGTTCCAACTTCCTTATCCTGCAATAACAGACTTTATCAATTTAAAGTCTGCATTAAAAAGTAATATTAAATTCAATAAAAAAATGTATTTAAATGTTGGCGTTATATCTTTCACTTGGATGTTACAAGTTGCACTGAGTAAATGCAGCTGGATAAAACAAAAACTGTGTCCATCTTCATTTCAGGCTGCAAAGCAACAAAATGTGATTATTTTAAAGGGGGTGTTTCTTTTCTATACCCACTGTATATGTTTTTCATAGTACATAAATCTCTATTACTTCAAAAGATCAAGAAAAATTTGATTCTTCACGATCCATGCAACTAAATAATTCCACTTCTTGTATCCATTTCTGTCATCACAGCCCAAATAAAGTAGCCTGTTTTGAGCACTGAGTTAAATCTCTCTCTCCCACTCTCACACACTCACAGGACAGAATTGGCACTTTCAAAATACACCTGAAGGGAAATCCTTCCAGCTGAACTCCTCCTCACCTACACACAGCTGCACTCCTTTTAAACAAGACTACGTGAGTATATACCCCTTCCTTCTTAATCCAGCTCTTACATAAACACCAAATTTGCATGTTGTCTTATTCAGTGCATGTGTAGTTCCTGTATTAAAAGTAACTGTAATGGTGCGTGTATGATGTGTCTTTGCAATGTACAGGTCCAGCTGATGTCTGAGTGCAGCGGCAGCATTAAGAGTGTGAAGAAGGTTTCTATGATCCTGGATGATGAGGAACAGCAGGAGGAACAAGGCCTCACTGCCCTCAACACTGCAGACAAACAGTCAGGTACTGACACTTTGTCCAACACAGAGGAGCATGAGGACGTCTGTCTGGTACTCATCCCGAGTGGTTCACGTAAAAAAAAAAAGTCTTCACAAATAGTGCATGCACTGACACAGATCACATGTGCAAGGGACTATTTGTCAATTTATTTAGACGAGTCTAAAAGCATAAGGCTATTTATTTATCTATCAATAATAGCACATAATTACATTTTCATGCCACCTGATGGATGGATGGATGGATGGATAGTTGGTAGACGGATGAATGGATTGGTGGATAAACAGAAGGATGGTCATATGATGTATAGATACGGAGGGTTGGTTGGATAGATGGAATGATGAATCAGTGGATTGATGGATAAACTGATGGATGGATAAATAGTTAGATGTAATAGGTGGTTAGATGGGTGGATAAACTGATGGAGTAATTGATAGATAGTTGAATAGACTTAAAGGAATGGAAGGATTGGTGGATAAATGGATGGATGAATATGAGGATTGAAAATTAAATGGGTGGGTAGGCATGAAGAGATGGATGGATGGATTAAAATGTGGAAAAACAAATGGATGGATGGATATGGGTAGAGGTTTGCATAGACAAATAGAGGAATGGTGGGCAGATAGATCTATAGACAAGGGTGAATGGTTGAATCAGTGGATAAGCATATGGAATGATAGGTAAATAGATGAGATGAGCAGATAAGAGTTTAGACAAATGAAAGGATTGATGGATGGATTGATAGTTGGGTGGATGGATGGATAGGTGGCTAAATGGAAGGATAGATTGCTGGATAGATTGTTAAATGGAAGGGCAGTTCAGTCGATAGGTGGAAAGATAGTTGCGTAGATGGATGAGTGGATAGGTGGACAAATACATTTATGAATGCATTGATGATAGATAGTTGGATAGACAAATGGAGGAATGGATGAATAGGTAGATGGACGGATGGATACATAGTTCGAAAATTAGTAGATTTGGTTAGATGAATGAAGGACTGGATTGGTGGATAGACAGGATAAAAATGGAAGGATGCTGAAAATATTGCATGTAGAATTTATTTTTTTCACTTTATGAACTTGTCCTTTGTTCTCCGCAGGAGTGATTGAGCGCTGGGAGCTGCTGCAGGCTCAAGCAGTGAGTAAAGAGCAGTGCAGCACCAGAGACCCCCAGCAGCTGACCTCTGACCTGCATGACATCTCTTCCTGGCTGGATCATGTCACCCCTGAGCTGGACAGACTGCAGAAGCCTGAGACATCCGTCAGTGTCGAGATCTTAGAAGAGAGGGTCAAACAACTTAAAGTAAGCATCAGTTATAGTTCTAGAATGCATCTAATCTTTTAGATTTTTTATAAAGAGACACTAGAAAGGGAAAGAAATGTTTTCATACTTTGTTCCACATTACACAGGAAATGCAGAAGACATTTGCTTGCTATAAGACCATGATGCTGTCTCTGAACCTGGGTGGGCGAGAGCTGCAGCAGGGGGCTACAGGAGGAGCACCTGAGCTTCAGGAGGGTCTGCGCAGCATGAATCGCCGCTGGACAGAGGCTTGTGCGGGACTAGAGGGATGGGAGGACAGTCTGCGCACCACCTTAGGACGCTGTCAGGTGAGATATCTGTCAAACATTTATACAAAACCTTAATGGAAAGATTGAAGCTATTGGGATTGATGCCACGTGAAACTTCATCTCTCACTACTGAACATCTGCCCTCCTGTAGGAGTTCCACGAGATGGTCCACTCTCAACTGCTATGGCTGGCCCATGCAGAGAGCAGACGCTACACAGTGAACCTGAACGACCCTTCTGTGCAGCCCTCCATGCTTCAGGAACAAAGGAACACCCTGAAGGTGAGTCAGAGAAACCCAAACCAGAATAACATCAGCTTCTCCATCAAGACTGACCTCTAGTTTGTGTTGTTATCTGTGTGCCGAGCTTATGTTTTGCACCCCCTGGTGGCAGGATCTGGCAGAGGAACTGCAGGGCAGACAGAAGCGAGTGAGCTCCCTGCAGGAGATCGTCTCCGAGCTGCTCCCTGAGGCTGGTGGGGAGGACAGCACTGAAGCCCGGGAAAAACTCCACGTCATTGGAAGCAAACTAAGACTACTGTCACGTCAAGTCAACCAGGATCTCCAGACGATTGACGAGAGATTGGTAAGAGCGTTATGCAAAACATTCTTCATCCATTTACACTACACACAAAAAATTAAAGGGAAGCTCACTTCCTGCTAAGGATACAACACATTTGTATTTATACTTAAAAAAATAAAAAATAAATAAAAAAAAATAATAAAAGCTTTACAGTATTACTTCATTCCAACACATGGACGAATAATTTTCATTTAAATAAATAACCAATTTATGAGTAAGTTTTTCTAAAAAAGGAACTGTTCATGTAAATCCCCAGATGGTTCCTATGGGATGTTCTGCAATGCTCCATTGATTGAGGGGGCGGAGCTTAGCCTAAGATCAATTAATAGTCAATTAAAATTTTTGAACCTTGAGTATTGATCAAAACCTTTAATATTTTCAGCCCTCAGAAGTGCATTTAAAATAAAAACTCATACAGACTCTTTTTTTAATATATGGAATCCATGTGTTTGGGAATTTTGTGTGAAGATTTCGCAATGGGTTCAAGTTGGTCACATTCGCCATGTTGACCAAAAGAAAGCTGCTTGATTTGAAAGTAACTTCTGTGTGAGCTGTACTTCATGCATCACTACGCTGTTAACAGCAGACAATGGCCCTTCTTATCCGCGAAATTTCACTAATGTGAAAACACCTGGTAACACTTTATTTCGATAGTCCACTTTAGACATTCTATTAACAGTAAGTAACTTTGCAACTACATATCAACTAGCAGTTAGTAGAGTATTAGTAGACTGTCTGCTTAATATCTTCTAACACTTTCTTTGTCAACTTATTCTACTAACCCTAAACCTACCCTAA